CCCTTGCTCAGAGGGAGTTGTTGATTAGAACAAACTGGTACTATCTCGTGATAATAAGTGAATAAGAATGTGCATTCCATCCAGGAGAACTGTAATGTCCCTGTACTCTCATTAAATTCAGGATGTCAAATACAACGTTAAGGGAATGGGGAAGGATACTGTCTGATTGTACAGTATTTTACTAATTTCTCAGTAACAACTTCACTCTCATTTACCCTAAATCATCACTTACTGGGTCATTATACCACGGCATGGTTAACCTGATGTTTGTGTGCACAGGTAACTTCCAGGTCCAAGCTGGAATCTGGGAATAAAGCAGTTCTACAGATGCAGTAAGTGAACAGTGTGAGTTTCCCATCCTGACAGTGTGCTGATCCCAGCAGCTCATACTGAGGGTGAACTGTGCTGCCAACCCGTGGTGTATGGAATTCATGAGTTAGGCGTGTGAACACATCACACTTATGAGGTTAAGTAACATTTTTCTTTAATAATAAATTTGTGTTCTTCTAGTAAGCTTTTGTGTTTCTGAGCTGAGATCAAAATGTCTAGCTTTTCCCTAGCATCATAAGGACAGTAAGTGCACTCTTTTCTATATTTTTCTTTTTTAAAGATAGCCAAGAAAAACCACGTTAACATGTAATTTACAAAAAGAACATACCATCTTTTTAAAATATCATATAAAACTGGCCCCCCGCCAGAGGCAAATTTGCAGAAATACTTTAGTGTACTCTTCTGAAAAAGAACACATTCCTCAAGCTATTATTAAAAAAAGTTACTCATGAAGAACTATCCATCTGTGTCTGAAGTTAATAGGTTTTTTTTGCAACAACGCAACTTCTGTCAGTTGTACTTTCACAAATCGGTAAGAAGGCAATGCTTTATAAAATGAAAAATCATAAGAAAACAAATCTATAAACTGAGTCCTCTTGGAAAATGTCCGTGGTGGAGTTATGCTTCAGCCTGGATTTAAATCCATATACATCACCCCTGCTGCCCATGTTTATGTTAGACCACTGAAGATTTGTGGTTGACCTACATATGCAAACAAAACATTTGCTGCATATTTGGGGGGGGGGATTTGCATGATAGAAGATGATGAAAATATGCATAATTGTAGATGACATTTCTCATTCCCCAGTCCTGCTGCACAGCCCTTTGGAGCTGGCCATGCATGAAAGAGGCTGCAGTCCTGACGGGCAGATCGCCTGTGCTGAACCGCCGAGACATTAAACTTCTGTTTGTTCTTGAGCAACGCAAATCTGCAATAATCATCTCACCAAGCAGCCCCTCTGCTCACAGAGGGCACGTACGACACTAACTGAGTGGGCTGAAACCATGAGTTCCACACGTCACCGCTGAGCTCACATCACGTGGCAGCTTCAGAGACTCGCCTAAACATTTTGTTTGTGAGTTTTCTTGGTGTTCTTCAAATCCCCAATGCATCAGAGGGTAACAACACACAATTTCAGTCAACAGTAGCTAATTTACCTATTCTTGCCTCCGCATTTCATCCCACAGCAGCATTTCTAGGAAGTCTCCTGGTGTGTTAGTACACCAGAAACTTTGCTCTAAAAATTGCACCAGCACAAGTTAAGTACTAATAATGTTGATAAAATTGCATGACAACCCCAGATCTTCCAGGATGATAATGCATGCACTGATCTCTCAGCTCTTACAAGGATAATATGGAAGTGCTTCCCTGTAACAGAGGTTTTGTCTGCCATTACTGGATGTCTGTCTGGTTATTCTTGCTATGTCACATCTTACTTATCATTTTAAATCTTTGCAGCACTGCTGTGCAGAAATAAGCACTTAAAATGGTTAGAAGAAGGGAGGAAAATTCCTTGGCATCAAGACCAGGTCTCCTTTGGAAAGCACAAAGCATACAGTGGCTCTGCAGCTCCTTTATCAGAGATGTGAAGGCAGGTTTGGAAAAATATGACATGATCCGATGGGAGCAACAGCTCCCTTCCCTGTAAACCAGCTGAGGAACTGATAAAAGAACACCCTGCATGACCACAGTCTAGGTCTTCTTAAAAAATGAAGAAGAAGGATTTACATACAGAGTAAATGGCAGTGCAGGCAGAAATGTGCACCCATGTGAGAGAAAGAGAAGGAAAGAAATCTTGGTAGCCGGTGCCTGAGAAAGAAAGCTGATCCAAACCTGTTCCCTGCAAAAAACACTTGCAGCTCTGAGCCAAGAAGCTGTCTTGGTGCTTCACTCCTACTGTGTTCAGAGAAACGGGACTTTCTGTGAGTGCTTTGCACATCAAAGGAATAACTCCTCAGTACCTCCATGTGATGCAAACACCCACCATGGGGTTTGGCCAACTGCTCGGTCAAGAAGGGGTAATGCTACTCAGGGTTTGTTTATACTAAATCCGTGACGATGTCCTGTGTAACTGTTTCATTCCACATGCTTGCCAGTTTTATTGTCCAGAAGAAAAGGCATACAGATTTCTTGCTTCCAATGGAGTCAAAGAATTTTCTTTGCCCAACAAACAAATTAGCAAGTTGAACAGCTTTTTAAGTCTAGAAACCTTCAAACCCAATTCTCAAACACAGATCCAAACCATTAACCTTGGGAGAGTTAAGACCTATGAAAAGTTCACAGAAGTTCATGACCAGGGAATATTAAACATCTCCATTCAATTGTGATCTAACAGAGACTGGCACTGCAAGCTTTTTTAAACCACAGTTGCCTTCTTTTTCTCAGGATTCCCATGAGATGTTTCTTTCCTCCTACCCAAAGGATTTTGCAATCTGCGGGACACTGGAGAGCACTAGGATGGAAATAAAAAGACCATTCTTGTTATTTCATCCTGGGCTTTCTGTCGGATTTAAAAATGGAACTATCCCCAGCAGAGTCCATATGCTCCCATGTATATAGGAATGCTCTTGTGGCAATGGGAGGGTAATGAGGAGGAACTCTGAGCAGCTCAGCACGATGGCAGGTTCATGCATGCCTCAGCTGAAATGCAGTATTGCAGAATCAATGCAGAGACTCACCAGTACTGGCTGTGTTAGGTTTTTCCCCTTATGAGTTGAGCTTTGCTGGCGTTAGCATCAAAGGAAGCATGAGCATAGGCTGACTGGGTGGCATCTCCTCCTCCTTGGGCTTAGGAGAACCAAAGACCTGAATCTTGCTCAATCAGTCCAAGGACATTTGCACACAAAATCTAGGTTATTCTTTCAGGTCAACGGATATTTTTTTTTTAATCAAGAGATGTGCAAGATAAGAAAAGTGCCATGAAACATTCTAAGTACGCACTAAACATCAGCAAAAAGACCACACAAAAAATCACCAACAAAGAACTAAACCCGTGCATCTGCAGGCAAGATGTGTATCTAGAGGAGCATCTTGGACAGAAACCAACTGATGTATTTACATACCTGAGAGAAAACTCATATTGAGTTATGCTGCATAGAAGAGGGATTAGCATAAACATGTGAATATTTAAAATTGCAATGTAATGCAACATTTTGACTTGGAAGAAAAAAAGCCTGTCTGGAAACAGAAAACCGTAGCAAAGACAGGAGGCTGACCACAGAACCTTCACCAGCACCAATGCCAGGAGGAGCTGCTAATACCACAAAATACTTGAACATGTAGGGTCACAGTCTGTGAACCAATATTAATTCCTGGAGCTTTTTCTCCCTGTCCTAATTATAAGTTTCTGGATTTTTGGCTCTTGCCCATCTCCCACTGACTTACAAGTACTCAGAGATGCCAAGAAGCTCAGGGTGATTACACCTCTGAGATGGAGACAGGGCCTTGTGCAGTGTCTGCCTGTGGCCAGAATTTTCTCTCTTGCTAATTTGAAAGCTACATAAAAGGTGGTGTCCAGCAATGTTCAAACATCCAGCTGGGGAGTTATTTGTATGACAAAAAGTTACAACTGATCACTTGAAAATTAATTTGCGGAAACCCAGATGAGATCCATTGGAGCACATGTAACCCTCCACCCTTTGGATTCTACACAGTTCACGTTTCTGATGATTTCTGTAAGTGGAGTGTGGCTGTAATAACAGTCAGAAGACAAACCTTGGGTCCTGCCATCCCAGCTGTGCACAAAGCTCATCCCTTCCCCGTGCCGGTGCCCACTGAGAGGAATGTCACGCTCAGGTGTGTCGGTGTCCCAGAGTGGCATCTGTGAGGGCTCACCTGTGCCTGGCAGTGCCTTGCCACTGAGACGAAGCTGGAAGGAAAGAACACCCTGAGAACACAGGGTGCCACAAATGCTCAGGCTATCCTGAGTCACACAGCAGACATGGACATGACTGTGCGTCAGGCTTCTGAGAGAGGGCATGTGCTAATTACTAACAGGGCCGTAAGTCACATTAACACTGGACACACACCACTCACACAGGAGCTGCTGTGATCCCAGATCATTGTGTATCTGCCTGTTTAGAGTTCCTAACATGGAAAATGTACATCTGCCACCTAGGTTTGGCACTCTGTGCCCTACGAGAGTCTGACATGGCATTACTTCTCTGGTTCAAAGGGCATGGTCTGGCCAGGATATCCTGGACGTGTGGACAGAAACCCTCCATGACCAACCTTCAACCAGGTGCCTCAGGTGTGTTCAAACCCCCAGACCCATCCTTGTGAGGCCAGACCTGCCCTCCCGATTCACAGGGCTCTGGTAACTCCAGAGTGCCCCAGGCAGCACTCAGGGTGCCCCGTACGGACTGGAGCGATGGTGAGGGGCCTGGAGCATCGCTCCGAGGAGGGGAGACTCAGAGCGGTGCTCCAGACCCCTCACCATCGCTCCGGTCGGTGCGGGGCACCCCGAGCGCTGCAGCCGCTGCCGCCGGAGCCTGGCGGAGCGCCGCTGCGGGGCCGGGGCGGGGCGGCCGGGCAGCGGCCGGGCAGGGCCGGGCGGCTCCCGCCGCCCCCCGCATCACATGAGGGAACTTCGGGCCAATGGCGCCGCGGCGGGGCCGGGGCCCCGCTCGCTCCCGCGGACGCTCATTCAAAACGCGGCCGGGCTCGAGTGCCCGCAGCCCCGCACGGCGCCCGGGGCTCGGCGGGGCGGGCGCTGCCGGCCGCGATGCCCGGCGCGGCCGCGGGCTGAGGCGGCCGCCCGCCCGCCGCCATGCCGGTGAAGAACCGGTACAACCTGGTGGACGATGGCTGCGACTCCCGCGTCCCGCTGCACAACGAGGAGGCCTTCCAGCACGGCATCCACTTCCAGGCCAAGGTGAGCCCCGGGCGCGCTCCCTTCCCCAGCCCCTGGCGCGGGGGCGCAGCGGGTCCCCCCCCGCTCGGGGGGCTTTGGCTGCGGCCCCCCGGGCTCCCCCCTCTTTACCTCTCGCAGCCAATTCGCAGGCTGAGGGTCCCCGCGGGCCGGGCTCCGGTGCTGTCCAGCACCCCCGGGGTGGCACCCCCGCGGCTCGAGGCCAGGCTCGCCGCACCCCCCAGCCCTGCCGCGGGCTGTCTCCTCAGCTCGGCAAGTGCCCCTGGGCCAGGGCTGAGGGAGTCTAAAGAAAACAGCCATCAGTTATGAAAGCCTTACGTTTAATTAGCACAATCAAACAGGTTCTTGCGCTTTTCCCCAGTATTTTGTGAGCTGTGTGTATAATCCTTAGGCACTGCCTTGTGCGCCTCGTTTGGGAGCTGGTCTGGGATGACCCCTCCAGATAGCACCATGGACACTGTCCCCGGTGCACTCCCTGCCCCATCCGCTGCCTGTCCCCCATCGGGCAGGACCCCATTCCTGTCACGGTAGGGTAACAGCTCCCTTGGAAACCAGCAGACTGCTGTGTGATGCTTAAATAATAGTACCTTACTCCATTTGACCCCTTCCCTGCACAAAAAGCAGGGCAAGGCAGGTCTGCAGCCTTCAGGCATCAGAAAGAAATACTGATATCGTCAGAAATTTCATATTGATCATGAAGAACAGCCTGGCAGCACAGCAGCACTCTCAGAGAGTGACTCCATTGGAATTGGCATTCTGTAGACAGCACAGGGAACGGGTTTATAATTCAGCTGACAAGAAGAATTGCATTTTGCTGGAGCAACTCACAGGCTCCCTTCCCCTCTTTGCAGGTGGCCTAACACAGATTAGAAATGGAATTCACGCCTGCTGTCTCCTGAGCTGGAAAGAAGGGGCATATACATTCCAATAAAGCTTTGAAATACGGATTTTGTGCCTTTTGGTTTTCCTACTAAAAGAGCTGTAAGATTTAAGCAGGATATGGGATGAATCTGAATAGACAGCTTAATCATGTATTTTAAAAAACCTCTCTTCCTTGGGGAGAAAAACAATTAATCTGTGATTTCTTGAGTTAAATTAACATTTGCTGTGCTGCACCCTGTGCCGAGGAGAAGAAAAATCCTTATTTTGATTTTTAAAAGATGGGAAGCAACTGTGCCTTTAACTGAGTGAAACTGGCTTCTTCAGATTGACAGCTGCAGGCATCCAGAGCTGGCGAGTGGATAACACACTGTTAGGATGTGTGGGTCTGGGATGGGGTTTGCATTGCCGTAGTAACTGAGCTTGCTTGGTTCTGCTCTACAGTCTGTCTCTTCCAATTAGGCTGCTCATTGTGGCCACATCAGTCAGCTGGGACGCTGACAATGACAAGGCTGCAGCTGGCTGCAGGTGTCCCTCAACAGGCAATCCTGCTGACCACACTCACTCTCTAATCTCCACATTCCAAACTGCCTTCCTTCCCCTATAATCTTCGGGAGGTCAGTACTGGAAACTGCTTGTGGAAAGGTGGCTGTTTGGGCAGAGCTTCCAGTGCTGTTTCATGAGCTTCATGGATCTGTGGGGGAGCACAGGTACCAAACTCTGCAGCAAGGCCAGAGCAGGGAGTCTGGGACAGTCTCCTCTGCTCAGCAGTCACCAGCTCTCCTCTAGCCCCAATACATTTAGCAATTTAGCCCGCTCCCCACTGCAGCTCTGTTGTGGCAGACAAAAGGCCAGCTGGCTGCATGGAATTCCTCTGGGTTACCTGTGACTGTAGTGACAGCTGTGGCAGAATGGGGAAGGAGATCTGCACACCAAAGAGGCCACAGATCTGGAGCGATACAGCCCTGCCCTCCCCAGCAGCCCAGAGGGAAGCCCTGGCTCTGCCGCTCCCCTCCCTGCTGCCCTCAAGCTCTTCTGGGCTGAGTTTGCCTCTCCTGTGGTTTACCAAAGGCTATAGCTGAACTTAACTGCTCTTAAAAATGCCATTTTACAAAGGCATTTACAGAAGCAGCAGCAAAGCCAGATGACCTTTCAGATTGCTTGCGGTGTTTATTTCAAGGCAGGAGAAAGAGCAGTAAATACTGAGTGAGGAGAGCTCATCTCTGAAAGCCCTTTTAAGTACACATTTTACAAGATAAAACCCATTGCAAGCTGCAAGTGTTACAGTGGAGAAAAAAAAAACAGAACTGTGTCAGTAACAGCAATAGCTATGGGGCTGCTCTTGGGGTGTTACTCTGTCTCTGTTCATGTGTATATTATAACCCTGAATATTTGCAGGGGCCTCTTGATTAGCTTCCTCTCTGCAAGGAAACAACTTCCAAAAAAAACTCTGCAACTCAACCACACACTAAAAACCAGATGCAGCTCATGAACCAAATGCTCCTGGGAGGCTCTCTAAGCTTTGGGAACTGCCCTCTGGCCCCCCACTAACAGCAGAGACAGGCTGTGTCACCCTGAAGGTGCTGATGGGCCCCACTGGGATCCTGCCAGTGGAGTCTGGCTTGACTGCCATGGCCACACCTGGCACACGCTGGCATTTGTCACCTGGCCCTCACCCTCTCACTCAGATGACATTCTTCCTGTGGTCACCAACACGCCCCTAACCTGCAGTGAGCCACACCACCTCACAGCATGAGTGTCCTTTGCTCCCCACACACTGTGACTGCCCAGGGTGCTGCGTATTTCCCTCGTTCCCCAGGCTGAGCTGGCAGCTTTGTGCCTCCTCCACTCGGCAGTGCAGGCAGCACTCCTGTGCCTCTGTGCCACACGTGCTGCCACCAGTCCCACAGCACAGCAGCAGCTGCCTCCTGCCAGCAGGTGCACAGACAGGGCTGCTCTGGCACACAACGTTACAACCCGGCGCAAGGGCCAGAGTACAGGCAGCTCAGGAGCAGCAGGAAGCTGCCTCCAGGTCTTCCCTGACAACCTGTGGAATGCCTGCAACACACTGCCATTCTGTGCAGGAGAACAGGCAACCACCTCACAGGATGCTCCAGGTGTGCTGGTAGAGGTGCTGGGAACCCACTACCTGCCATGTCTCAGACCCCAGTAAAGAACTGAGTTAGAACTGGAGCTTACACTGAAATGCTGACACTCAACACCAAGGGCTGCCCAGCCTTAGCAGTGGTTAAGACTGCAACTCTTCTAAGCAGAGTTAAAAACAGGGGTGTAGGACATAGATTTGGGTGGGCATACCAGGATTCTACAAACAGCTGAACTGGTCCAACCAAGCAGGGACAGTGGTGTCCAGAGAGACACCTTCAGTCTGATGGTCCAGATTGAAAACTTGGGCCAGAATCACAAGCCTTTTCCAGGAAAGCTGTTTGTTGCACATCCTGGCAGCTTTCCAACTCTTAACATGCTTTTAGTTCTGAGCCTTTTAGAAGCAGGTGTAGCAGAGAAGAACGAAGGATGGACAGTCCCATTTTCAGACCCACAAGATTTTAACTCGATTAGCAGCAGACACTGCCCTGCAAAGCACTCAGAAAGGCACATCCAGAATCTGAATGAGGTCAGAGCCTCACACCTGACCTGAGAAATCCACAAACTCGCCGACTTTGATAACATTATCCACAACACATATTCTTATCGTGTCCCAGGTCAAGAGAGTCTAGCCAAGGAGGGACTAAATAAATGAGACACGCTGTTTGTTTTGAAGAAACACCATTGACCTGTGCATTGCTGTACAGACATCTCACTGTTGTGTCTTTCAGTACATCGGCAGCTTGGACGTGCCCAGGCCCAACAGCCGCGTGGAGATTGTGGCAGCCATGAGGAGGATCCGGGTGAGTTCAAAAGAGCTGAGCCCACGTGGAATAAAGGGTTGCATTCCATGGAGTGACTTGGTCACAGTGGGCTGTTCTGCATTCCCCCCAGCCCTTCCTATCTGGAGCTCAAATCTCAGCACAGTCAGGTTTGTAACAAAGCGTCTCCTGAAATTCCCAAGGCACCTTAGGATAGATCCATCCCCTGCTCTTTGCAAAGGGATCAGTTAGCAAAACTCAAACATAAACCCCTCTTCTGTGCTGAGGAGGTATGGTGCTTCTCCTTGACCCTAAGAGATTTATTTACCCTGTATGGGGCTTTGTGTGTGTGAAAAATAAACTGAACACAATCTGCTCCACAAAAGCACTTAAATTCATTGACAGTTCCAAATATACTGTGTTATTATATATTGACACATCAGTGGCCTGACAGATGTGATGGATGTAAATCCCATCTGACTAGACTTTGTGGATTCTGCTGCTCATGGAATAATTTGCTGCTTTTCCCATCCTCCAGTACAGTTTTACAGTTCTTGTTTCTCATCACCAAGCCTGTGCTCTTCCTCTTCTACCCCTTTGTTGTGCAGAGCAGGCTGTGAATGGTCACCAGATTTAGCTGTGATTAGCAGGGTGGGTAGCTCACATCTGCTTCATGTATAACCAGTTCAAGTGCATCTCCCCCAAAAGGCAGTGCAGCTGCTGTGTCTGGCTGAAGTTTTGCAGGGGTCTTAATTCTGAGGCTGTTCATATGTCTCACATCAGCTGAAGCAGGTTTGAGACACTTCCATTTAAAGCTTTGAAGGGATTATCCTATTTCCCCCCCTCCCCCCACAGTGTTTAACCATCTAATTTTCCTTCAGAATAGTGCTTTTTAAACTTAGCCTGTAACTGGCTGGGGAGCTGATGTATTCATCTCCAGCCAAGCTCAGAAATGACATTCCCCTCCCTTTGCCTGCTCAGACTATTAGCACAGCTCTTGCTCAGAACACAGTGCAGCAGCAGTCTAAATTGCCTGGTTATTTATGGAACAGGTGAACATCTATAGGAAGCAAAGGCAGTAGGTGAAGACCACCAGGGCATTTTAGGTGCTGGCATAACTACTGACAGTTTTTCATCTGAATCAGTATTTATCATCAGATTTGACACTGCGCTTCTGCTGATCTTTGACTGGATAACACCCTTGTCAGAAAACCTTGAAAAAGCAAATAATATTTTAACATCACTTAAAAGAAAGTGTTGCATTCCATTTTCACACCTGCTGTTGCCACAGTGGTTCATGGTTCAGAGCCTTGGAGTGCAACAGCATGCTCGAGTGTTACAAGAAACATAAAAAAATCCCCACTCTGCATTCCTGGATGCCATCAGTTAATCTTATCACACAATATTTTTAAAGTAGGCATCCTGTATTCTGTCGTGGGTTTTTAATCTTGGAAGCCCGTTCCAAAAAGGGAGGGCCTTCCCTTTTCATGTGCACATTGTACAGCAGGATCTTATTCAGACACTTCCTGGCTGCTGAGCGGAAGATGCTCCTCTATTGAAGATAGTTAATTGGCACTGATCCTTAATTAGAGCATAAAGAATGAACTGGGAGGTCTTTGAAGAGAATTCTGGTGCACAGAGTACCCAACCTAGGAACTGAGGGAAGATGGGGTTTATTTATGTAGCGTTCATTTGCATGCAGAGGCCTTGCCTGTACTGGAGTTTTTTCCCATGGACTCTCAGCAGCACCAGTTGCAACTGGGAGGAAACAGTGGAAGAAGCTGTTGGGGGAAGTGAGCATTTTGCTGCCACGTTATTGTGAGCAGTGGTGCCTGTTTGCACCGCAAGCGTGAGGAAGGTCCCGCAGCCCTGCCAAGCGTTGGCAGGGGCACGTCGTGCTGGAGCTTTTCATCCTTTGTGCTCTCCAGTGTTCCACTGGAATCCTCTACTGGAGCGGAAGGGAGAAGTCGCACGGTACAAGCCCCAGCACAACATTCCCTGTGCCCTGGGAGAGGCAGGAGCCAGCCCACAGCGCAGCAGGGCTGTTACTCACCGCTGCTGCCGCCGGGAGGGACGCGGGGAGGAGAGGAGGGTGAGGAGTCACAGCTCCCTTTTCCAGGCTGTCACAGAGCTGGTTACTCTAGTTACTCATCAGTAAATTGATACAAGCTCCAAAACCGCCTTCCCACTACAATGTCTCATTTCTGTGATTAAAAGCTCTTTCCCCAGGGAAAAGCCTCCAGCTACCCAGCACTCCAAGTGCCCTGAGAGGGCCATAAGGGAAGTAGCAACTCCAAATGCTAAGCCTTGTCCTGTGTTTTGTGCTGAGCTCTTCTACCAGTTGGACATGAATTATGCCAGGGAACTGGGGAGCAGTTGAGTGGGATTCTCCATGCATTAGCAGAGCAGTCTGCTTACAGACCTCAAGACATCACTCTCAGGGAGCCTCAAACAACACAGTTTAGCATTAGCCTGCTGAAATTGTGACCTGTTCTCTGGCAGTAGGTATTTAAGATGCACTCTTCTAGTAAAGCTTAAATCCATCTTCCAGGCTGAATGGATGCTTGTAGAATTGCTAGCAATACTCCATTAGTCACACATTAGATCCCCATTTCATAAGAGACTGGAAAACCTTGTCTCATCATGTTCTGTGTTTCCACTGGAGGGAATGCAAATGCAATAGGTAGAACAGGGAAGCTGCTGTTCTTAGCTTCCCATTATGCAGAGCTAGACAACTTTAAGTTTGCTAATCCTCCCAGTGGATTATTAGCTGCATACAGCTGCCATGTTGTTATTATATGATCAGAGTTCAAACTAATCCCTCTACCTCTTGCCCTGGCAGGGGAGGTGATGAAATGAGTCTGCTGCTCGGATAAGTACACTGCATTCTGACAGACACGTCAAGTGTCTGCTTAGGAGAGTCCAATTCATCCTGCAGCTCCAAGCACCCAGGCAGGAATTCCTCCACCTCCCAGGGAGCAGCATCTGCTGCCTCTGGCTGCCCGAGGCCATCCAGGTCTGGGTGTCTGACAGCTCCTGCTCACAGCTCCTGTGCTCCATCAGCGTCCTAGTGGAGCTGGCTTTCTGCTGGAGTGGATTCATCTGCAGGTGTTTGAGCCTTCTCAGTGCTCCAGGGAGCTTATGCACAAGGTTTTTCCTTCTGCACAAGTCAAGTGGTAGCTAATGTGAAGATGGGTTTTGTAAAATACAAAATGTTTCCTTGAAGCTCCTGAGGTTGCTCAAAAAAAAAAATCTTAGTCTGGGAGACCAGGCTTTACGTGCAAGGTTAACATCACCACATTATCCTGCATCCATTCCCCAGAGCCAGCACTGACCACAGGAGAAAGTCAGCTGTTCCCTTCCTAGAGCAACACTCCCCTCAGTCCAGCCCTTCACAGCCAGCCAAGCAGCCCTAGTGAAATGCTGCTATTTTGAGTGGTGAGTTGTACGAGGACACAGTGGGAGTAAGTGTCAAAGCCTGTCATCCCCACAGACAGCCTGCTGCCAGCAATTCCCAGAGACACTCCATTTAAATACCTCTAAGGCACAGAATCAGTTTCCTCGGAATTTGCACTTGCGTATCTGTGAAGCCTAGAAATTTCAGTTCTGTTTGGAAGGTCTAGCTTGGACCTAAGCAGGTATTGACACTGAGAACAGAGCCAGATGTTGGATTATTTAATCATTCCATAAGGGAACAGCCAGCTGGTGCAGTGCCCATCCAAACACCAGGATGAACAAACAGCAGGCAGGCATCCAGACTACTGTTTCTTCTGTTACCTCCACATTTCTTGCACTTAATTTAATCAATAAGCCTTTTTCCCCAGAGGCCAGTGTGCCAGAGAAACAAACATTTATAATTCTTGACACAGGATACATCAGAAGCGCCTGAGTTCTCCTTGGTGTGAGAACTGGGTTCTCACTTCAGCCTCCCTCCTACCCTGATCATTCTTACTACATCCATGCTTTAAGCAGAGCCTCACCACTTTGCAGTTTCTCCACATGGTATTTGAGTGAGGAAGTGCAATCCTGCCACACTGTAAGCCAGAGTGACTGCCAAATATCAACTGGTAGTGCTGAAGTGCGACATGACAGCAATTTAAATCAGGATGAGTAAGTTACAATCCTACAGTGCAAACTTGTGAGGCAGAGGCAGCAGAGACAGCCACACAGAACCTGCCTCTGCGCTCCAGCAGCTCCCAGTCTGAGAGCTGGACTGGCTCACACAGCAGCTCACACTCAGAGCCCTGCCAGGCTGTAAATTGCAATGGTTCAGGAGCAAATGTGGATGTGATTTATCTGCTCTTGCTGCAGAAGGAGAGGAACCAGGTGGACAGCTGGTAGAGGGCAGGGCGACTGCCTTCAGCCCTCTCAGCTTAATTTATCACTGTGATAGAGATGTTTCATAGGCCCATTAGTGAGATTGTTCTAGAACAGTTCCCTCAGTTCTCCCAGGCAGGCAGCCTTCTCACTGCACAAGTTCACCAAGAAAACTGCTGCATGGATTCCTCTGACATACTCTAAGCCCTTCCTGAATTCTTATACTCAGAGTTAAGTTTTCCTGCCAGCTTCATGTTAATCAGTACAAAAGAGAGAATCTGATGGGGTTCTTGGTTAGTCTTTGCAGCCTCTCCCACTACAGTGACGTTATTTGCTGGGCTGCAGCTGAGGCACAGACTCAAACATCGAAGTGCAAACTGCTGGAGCACTTGCCCTGGTACAGACCTCTGTAGCTGCACACCAGGATCTGTTGTTGTTGGATGGGGGTTTGTTCTGCTGCAGGAGGATTTTCCCTTTCAGCCTCTTTGGAAGAGCATCCAAATTCTCAGCTAATGATAGCCCTGAGCTGTGACAGAAACCAATCCTAGTGTCTTAAAATATTTGAGCATCCTCAGACTGCTGGGGTGGACCTTTCTTTAGTTCTCAGAACGCTGTGCACCTTCCTTTCATTTACAGGAAGGTGCAGGAAGAGCAGATGACAGTTCTGACATGGTTAGAGTGAGACACAAGTATCTCTTCCTCCCTCTCCCCCATAACAACAGGGC